ATGAGTGTATGACCACACTACATGCACTAAAATCACATAACAAATAATGCCAAATCATGTAAATAGCCCAAGCAAAGCATGCTAGTGGCTTGGAAACTCAAAACTAGTGAGCTAGAATGCACTATGGCTATACAAAGCATGGCATGCATGACCAAAACAACATAAATCAGAGCTAGAGCATGCTAAAACATGGCCAAAATCTTGCTGAAGTTAAGCCAAAATCATGTTAGAATGATAGTCAAAAGCATGATGTATGTTAGGCCAATGAATGGAATTACACTACAAGTGCATGGAGCATGCAAGGGGCTAACAAACCAACCTAAAACAGAGGTATAGCATGCTAAAAAAACACCAAAAACAAGATGAGATGGAGCCAAAACATGCTAGAAAGACATGCTACTTCATAAGGCACACAAAGCTAGTTTGCAAAATTTAGACTACAAGTGTATAAAGCATGCAAGGGGTGACCAAACCAAGTCAAAACAGTGGTATGCCATGTCAAAATAACCCCAAATACATGTTAAGATGGAGTCAACATAAGCTTAACAAACATGCTCAAACATAAGGCAAATGAAGCAAGCATCCAAGATACAGGGAGAAGGGATGACTCTCTCCTATTTAAGACCTCAAAACACAAGTTTTACCACTGAAAATCCACTGGATTTCAATGGTTAAAAGGCCAAGAGAAAGTGATCTCAAGGGCCTCAAGTGATGGTGTAAAACAAAGCCAAACAAGGCACAAGAGGGGGTAGACCACCCCCAACACAAAAGAGACCTTAAACAAACATTACAAGCATGCAAAATCAGAAATTTTTGTAGTAGAAAGTCAAGTCAAAATAAGCATGCAAATAGGTCCAAAAGCTTAATGCATCCAAGATACAGGGAGAGGGGATGACCCTCTCCTATTTAAGACCTCAAAACACAAGTTTTACCACTGAAAATCCACTAGATTTCAATGGTTAAAAGGCCAAGAGAAAGTGATCTCAAGGGCCTCAAGTGATGGTGTAAAACAAAGCCAAAAAAGGCACAAGAGGGGGTAGACCACCCCCAACACAAAAGAGACCTTAAACAAACATTACAAGCATGCAAAATCAGAAATTTTTGTAGTAGAAAGTCAAGTCAAAATAAGCATGCAAATAGGTCCAAAAGCTTAATAAAAAACAAGGGTTTAAGAGGTTAGAAGCTCACCCTTGTAGAACCACTTTAGAGTAACAGCTCTAGCAGATTTCTTGGATCAAAACCAGTCCAAAAACACCAAAACTAGCTTCAAAGTGCCTCAGCAACAAGAGTATGGTGTTTGAGTGTGTGTTTGTGTGCAATAGTATGATGAAAATGCACTTTTAAGCATAAAACAAAAGAGAATGAGCAAATATAGAGATAGGTGTGTATCTATAGCTCAAGCACAAAATTCTGAACCTAAAGCAAGAGGGAGGAGGTTCCTTCTTATAGAAAAACAAAGTTCGAGCTTGTTAAACAAGCTTAAGGCTCTAAGCCATCCCTCTATACACGTGTATGGAGGATGGTTTCTGTGCCTTCCAGCTGGCACAGCTGGCAAGAAAATATCGTCAGGAAGCTGAAGGAAAGCTGCCGACCAGTTGAAGTGGTCGGTCAGCTACTTTTTCTGGTCTACAAGAAGAGCAAGTGGTCGGCAAGTGGCTGGCAAGGCCAAAAAGTGGCTGTCAAGTGTCCAAATTGAAGCCCCAGAAGTAAGCTTTCCAATGGCGCCAACCTTGCATCAAAATTGTGCAAAAAGGTATGCCTGTTTTGGTGAAGCCGCACAGTTTCAATCCAACCGGATTGATGCCCTACTTCAACCAACCATATCTCCCTCATCTGGACTTGGCTTTAGGAGATTCTTGAGTGCAAAATGAAGCCCCGGAAGTAATCTTTCCAACAGTGGTGGCCTCATAACTGAAATCCAAGTATTCAAAGGGATAGGCCTGATTTAGCAAGGGCTGCTCGATTAAAAAAATCAGCTGGCCGACCAAAAAATTGGCTGGCAGGCACAAAAAGTGGTTTACAGGGGGAGAAACTGGTCTACACCCCTGTTTCAACCTCTAGGCAAAGGAAAACAAGGTTTGGTTCAAAACCAAACCAAAAAGGAAGCAAGACAAAAGTCCGCGGGAAAAGGCACGCAGCCGGAAACCTCAAAAACTAGTCTACGAGCACAAAAAGTGGTCTACGAGAGGCCAAAGTGGTCTACGAGCACAAAAAGTGGTCTACGAGCACAAAAAGTGGTCTACGAGACCTCTGTGTCCCTCTAGGCAAAGGCAACAAGGCATGATCTGAAAATCAAGCCAAGAGGAGAACGCTAAGAGGCTTCGAGACAAGGCGCTCGGCTGAATGCTGAGAGGGAAAAGTGGTCTACGATCACAAAAAGTGGTCTACGAACATAAAAAGTGGTCTACGGACCTCTCTCTCCCTTCAGGCAAGGTCAACAAGGTATGGTCTACAAACCAAGCCAAAACACAAAGAGTTCAGAGGCCCAGAGGCAAGGCACTCAGCCGAAAACTCCGGAAACTCGAAACGAGCACAAACATGAGTGATTATCGAGCGCTTAATCGATGACTTATGAGTCTTAAGGTCGGTCAAAAATGGGGTGTTTACAACTAGTAAGGCAGTGGTTGGAGAAGTTTATGAAGATCCTATTGAAGACGAAGTATTTGAGAAATAAGAACTGCCAATGCTACACCAAGGCAGGCCCATTTCTATCTCTGATTCGGATGTTGCTTCCAAAGATTTTGCTTTTGACTTGACCAAGACTCTGTTGATGCCGGTGGACATGGCTGACCATAATAGGCCCTGCGATAATCCTATTTTAAAGGGGACCCTTCAGATGATGACTGCTGTAAGTGCGTTCTTGCTTTGCTTGTTTTTGGTGTTATGCTGCTGCCTTCTTTTTTTTAATACTTTGTAATCCATTGTAGTGTATTCAAAGGATGCATCTGTCCATCACCTGAGCGGAGGAACTGGAAAAGCCCGTACTGGAGGCCGCTATGAACGCTGAGAGACTGACAGTGAGCCTGGAGGCCAAGAAAGAAGGATGCAGAACTGCCGAAAGGGAGGCGTTCCGTCTGAACAAGGTTGTTGCTTTAGCTGAAAAGTCAAAGGAGGCTGCTATTAAGGAGCAGGCTCAATTTGAAGGAAAAGTGGCAGAGTTGGAGGCTGCTATCGAGGTGATGGCTGTCGAGTGTTCTGCGTTGGAGGCCAAGTACTGGCAACAAGGTTGAGATGAGGCTGGGGCTGCCTATAAAGAGGAGGTGTTGGTGCTGTGAGACAAGCTCTTTCTAAAGGATTGGTCGAGTGCTCTAGCCGCTGCCCTGGTTCCTGAAGGCTCTCCCCTGTTTCAGGATGCCCCAGTTCCCTCAAGGTCCCTAGGTTCAACGATTGTCTCTACCTCTGCAGTTCTTCCGGCCGAGGTTTCTCCAGAAATTGATTCTGCAAACAAGACTCAGGAGAATGATGTTGCAATTGAGACGGTGAACGTTGAAGGGGGTGGAACCCTGGAGATTGAAGCCGCGGGAGACGTGGTTAAGGTAGCTTTCACTTCTCAAGAAGTTAGAGCTACCTCTACTTTTCCTCCCCAAGACGGCCTGGACAAGATCGTAGACACTGCTCCTGAGGTTCCCTCTGTTAATGAAAGCTGAAGTTTTCTTTGGAGAGACTTGAAGTTTTTGCTTTTTGGACTCTCTTTTGTTTTCATGTTTCTGATGTATTGTGGCTTGGTCCCCTTGACGAGTTCTCTCTTTATACTTACAAAGACAGTTTTTCTCTTCTTTTTTCCTTCTCTTTGTTGCTGGCTATGGGGCCATCTGTGCCTTTGTTGGATGATGGAATTTTCCTTTTGATTTTGTAATCTGATGCTTTCTGGCTTTTACATCTGAATGTATTCTATACTGTCTACCCTCGGCCGAGCACTGTTGGGACCTCGGGGCCGAACAGATGCTTGGTCTGGTTCTGTACTGTTTACCTTCGGCCGAGCTCTGTTGGGACCTTGAGGCCGAACAGATGCTCGATCTGGTTAACGAATATGTTGCATGGCTGTACTTGGTTTTGTAATGAAAAGAAGAGGGTCTTACTTAGGTCCAGGTTGGTTCTAAAAAATAATTGTTTGCCCCCACTTGGAGCTAAGTAAGATCTGTGCTGAAGACTGTGCTCTCTAGGCAGAGCTGCTTAAGTCTGTTGCAACTTTGATATTATAAGTGTACTTGAATGGGATAAAGATATGAAGAAGTGTCTTACTCAGGTCCAGGTTGGTTTGAAAGAAAACAATTGTTGCCCCCAGCTGGAGTTGAGTAAGACTAGTGCTGGAAGTTTGTTCCTGATAGAGTTTAGCTTAGTTTGTTCCAACTCTGTTTGTATGAAGCAGTACTGAAGTGTTGATGTGATGATACTTAAGAGATTTTGTAGATTCAGAGATGTTTACTTAAGATGTGTTAGTGCGGTTTCCACCAAGTAATTCCACTTGGCTAAAGTCCGATTTAGTTGCCAAGCATAAGTCCACCAAGCAGTTCCACTTGGCATGTTTGAGTGCTAACTAAATTTTAATTCCGTTCAGTCGTTCTGAAACTAAGTCCATTTGGGTTAAGACCAAAGCTGAGTTCGTTTGATACACATCAAAGCTAATTCCGTTTGATAAACATCAAAACTAATTTCGTTTGATAAACATCAAAGCTATTTCCGTTTGGTATGTACCAAAGCTAATTCCGTTCGATAAACATCAAAGCTAATTCCGTTTGATAAACATCAAAGCTATTTCCATTTGGTATGCATCAAAGCTAATTTCGTTTGATAAACATCAAAGCTAATTCCATTTGGTGGACACCAAAACTAATTACAAAAATTTGACAGTCTTGAGAGAAGTGGGGAGACATTTGTATTGGCCAAAAGATAAATGTCTTTGCATCCTGATAGAGAAGTTAGGGCCTAATTCTCTTGATAGTATTTCTTGAGATTTGCTACATTCCAGGGCCAAGGTATGGCTCGGCCTTTGAGATCCTCTAGGTAGTAAGCTCCGTTTCCAGCAACAACTGTGACTTTGTAGGGGCCTCCCAATTAGGCCCAAGTTTTCCTTTGCCAGGTACCCATTTGTGATCCATGACTTTCCTCAAAACCAGTTCTCTAGGTGTGAATTGTCTTGGGAAAACTTTTTGATTGAAACTCTTGATGAGCTGCTGCTGATATGCTATAAGTCTGATCAGTGCGGCTTCTCTTTGGCCTTCTGCCATATCCAGTGCTTGTGCAATAGCTTCCTCATTATTGGTGCTTTCAAACAATTCAGACCGGAGGGTTGGGAGACCTACTTCAAGTGGGATGATGGCTTCCATTCCATAAGTCAGGGAGTAAGGTGTTTCCCCCGTTGAGCGCCGTGCTGTGGTTCGGTACGCCCATAGCATGTGGGGTAACTCTTCTACCCATTTTCCTTTTGCATGTTCAAGTCGTTTCTTTACTCCGTTGATGATGGTTTTGTTTGACGTTTTTGCCTGCCCATTACTTTGTGGGTACCCTGGAGAAGAGTTCCGATATTCGATTCTGAGGTTGGCACAAAACTTTCTAAAGATCTTTCCATCAAACTGTGTTCCATTATCTGTAATCAGTACCCGCGGCATGCCAAAACGCACTACTACGTTCCTCATGACGAATCGTTTTGTGTCTGCTTCTTTGATACTTGCTAGTGCTTCGACTTCAACCCACTTAGTGAAAATAGTTGGTTGCAGCGATGAAAAATCATCTGTTCCCTGTGCCTCGTGCCAATGGTCTGACAATATCCAGACCCCATTGGGCAAAGGGCCACGGACTAGTGAGTGGAGTGAGAGTTTTGGGTAGCTGATGAATTAGTGGAGTAAACCTCTGACATATATCGCACTTCTGAACGTACTGCTGTGCATCTTGTTGCATCCGTGGCTACCAGTACCCGTGAGTGAGGGCTCAGTGCGCCAGCGACCTTCCACTAACGTGGCATCCACAAATCTCATCGTGAATTTCATAGAGAACATTTTCGACCAGATTTGGATGCACACATAGAAGATAAGGGTCGAGATAGGAGCGTCTATACAGCTTCCCAGATGGTGAGATCCAAAACTGAGTTGACCTGTGTCTGACTTTGATGGCTTCCTTTTTATCTTCGGAGAGAGTGCTAGATTTTAGAAAAACAAGTATCGGATCCATCCAGCTTGGCTCTAAGTTGCTGCAGAGGACTGGAGATGCAATGCTTGGTTCTGGCACGAACTCAACCCAAACTTTTCTAGCATCTTTAGTATCTACTGATGAGCCGAGGCAAGCCAGAGCATCAGCATGGCTATTTTTGTCTCGACTGATTCATTTCACTCGTATGGATCGAAATTTTTTGAGTAGATCTTTGGCCTTGTCTGCGTACATAGCCATTCTTTCGTCTCGTATTTCATAGACCCCAGAAAGCTGGTTTACCACCAGTTGCGAGTCGCTGAAAACAAGAAGTTGTTCTGCACTAAAGTGTTCGGCACTACATAAGCCAGCCAGCAATGCTTCGTATTCCACCTCATTGTTAGAAGCCTTCAAACTGAGCCTGAGAGCCTGCTCCCAAATAAATCCCTCTGGTGAGATAAGTACTACTCCTGCCCCCGAGCCTCGGTTATTGGATGATCCATCGGCATAGAGCTGCCAGATGTTTCCAATAAAGAGTTTCCATGCTTCCGAAGCGCAGTGTTTTTCCTGTTCGGTGGGCATGGCACCTATGCCGAACTTGGACTCCCTGGCTCGGTACTCTGGGTGGGAGCAAATTCTGCGATGAAATCTGCCAAGACCTGGGCCTTGATTGCTGTCCTGGGTTGGTACCGAATGTCAAACTCACCAAGTTCTACCGCACATTTTGCTGTTTGGCCAGAGAAATTAGCTCGACTGAATACAGATCTGAAGAGGAACTCGATGAGGAGATTGATGGTATGCCCCTGGAAGTAATGTTGTAATTTTCTTGAGGCGATAAGCAGCGCGTAAGCTAACTTTTCCAAGGGTAGATACCGTGTCTCGGCATCTAGTAAAGTCTTGCTAACATAATATACTAGCCTCTGTTCCTTGTTAACTTCTCGAATTAATACTGTGCTTACGGCGTGATCTGAGACTGCTAGAAATAGGTACAGCTCCTCTCCTGGTTCTGGAGTGGACAGAAGAGGTGGTGTACTGAGGTATCTTTTGAGACTTTGCAATGCTTCGGTACACTTGGGACTCCATTCAAACGCTGCCTTTTTTCTCAACAGTTGGAAAAAAGGCTTCATTCGGTCTGAAGACTTGCTGATGAACCGATTTAAGGCGGCCGCCATTCTAGCCAGCTTCTGTAGCTCTTTAACCTTCGTTGGTGCTTCTAGCTCTTGTATTGCTTTGATCTGATCCGAATTTGCCTCGATTCCTCTATGAGTGACCATATACCCCAAGAACTTCCTTGTTCCTACCCCAAAAGCGCATTTCGAGGTATTGAGGCAAAGCTGATGGTTTTTCAGGATACCAAAGACTTCTCTTAAGTCTGCGAGGTGGTTCGTAGCGAGCTTGGTTTTTACTACCATATCATCTATATATGTTTCCATGGTCTTTCCGAGTTGATCCTTGAACATTCGAGTGATCATTCGCTGGTAGGTTGCTCCGGTGTTCTTGAGGCCGAACGGCATTACTTTGTAGCAATAAGTGCCCCTTGGAGTGATAAATGTTGTCTTCTCTTGATCCGGGCCGAACAGTGGTATCTGGTGGTAACCGCTATAAGCATCCAGAAAGCTCATGCGCTCATGCCTTGCCGTTGAGTCTACCAGTTGATCGATGCGAGACAGAGGAAAACTGTTTTTGGGACAAGCTTTGTTTAGGCAAGTGAAGTCAACGCAGACCCTCCATTTTTCCGTTTTTCTTTTTTACTACAACTGTGTTGGACAGCCATTGTGGGTACTGAACTTCTCTAATCGCTCCTGATGCCAGGAATTTTTCGACTTCAGCAATTTCTACTTTAGTGTGCTCAACTGAGGACCTCTGATTTTTCTGTACAATAGGTCGAGATGAAGGGTTGATGTTGAGTTTGTGGCAAGCAAATTCTGGGTTCAGCCCTGGAGTATCATATGCTGAACATGCGAATACCTCTATATTTTCCGTCAGTAGTTCAAGCAGTTGAAGTTTCTCATCAACGCCTAGCGAGATACCAATAAGGAAGTACTTTTCTGGATCATCCTCCTTTACCAGGACTTTCTCTAAATCCTCTACCATCTTTTCCTCTGGGGCCCCCCCTACATCTTCCAAGACTGGTTGTTCGGCCACTTCCACTGTATGTACCCGGTTACAAAGTTGTTTGGCCTTCAATGCCGCCATGAAGCAATGTTTTGGCGCAACTTGATCCCCTGAGATTTGCTCTACTCTATGTTCTGTTGGGAAACGGATGAGCTGGTGGTATGTTGAAGGGACCGCTTCTATTCGGTGAATCCATGGACGACCAAGTATGGTGTTGTAAGGGGAAGGTGTATTAATAACTAGAAATTCTATCTGGAGGGTCTTCGTTCTCGCCACAACTGGCAACACTATTCTGCCAAGTGGCCATTCTGGCTGTAAATTGAAGCCGACTAATGGAGCTACTGCTGGGGTGAGGTGTTGCTCGGAGCGACCAAGCTTTCTAAACAAGTCATAATACAATATGTCTACTGCACTGCCTTGATCTACCAAGACTCGTTTTACGTCAAACCGTTTCCCAATTCCCACAGTTATATTCAGTGCATCAGTATGTGGGCACTATATGCCTTCTAAATCCTTTCTAGTAAATGAAACAGTACACAAGGGGGATTTGGGTGTTGTGCGTACCTTTTTCGACGCGGGCTCTACTGACATGACCTGCTGAATTTGCACAGCCTTAGCAATCTCTTCTTTCAGTGCCTCTTCACGTTCCTGGGTTGCTGTTCCATGGATCACATTTATTATCAGCCGAGGTAGGTGCTCAATGTTCGGTTCTGGTGGTGGGTTCCCCGGTTCGGTCACTGCTTTATCCTGATCAATGTAATCCCGGAGGTGCCCAGCTGCTACTAGGTCTTCCAAGTGTTGCTTCAGTGCTCTATAGTTCTGAGTCATATGCCCCCTGTCTTGGTGATAGGTACATCTGAGCTTTTGATTACGCCGAGCTGGATCTCCCAACATTTTCGGCAGCCAAACAAAGAAAGGCTCTCTCTTGATCTTTTCCAGGAAACGATAGATGGGTTCCTTAAATACGGTCACGACTGCTCCGTGAGATTTGGACTTATCCACCTCGTTCACTGTGAGCCCTCGATGTTCCCTTCGGTCCGTTCTCTTCTTGTGTCGAGCTGTTTGTTCTGCTGATGCTTCCTCGATGGGGATCTGGTCATCCTCGATGCGAGCGTACTACTCGATCCTGGCACGTAAATCTTTCAGTGCAGTGGGCAGGTGCTTGGTAAGTGACTATCTCAACTAACTTTCCGGGCGCAGACCATGTTTGAAGGACATAACAGCCATCTGCTCACTGCAAACGTTTTCTTCTAAGTCATTGTACTCTTCCCAATACCTCCTAGCATAATTGCACAGTGTTTCTTCCTGCTCCTTTTGAAGACCGAACAGTGTATCCGGCTCTTTCGGGATCTTCGTATTGGAGACAAACCTGGCTAAGAACTCTTCGGAGAGCTGCTTCCAGTCATAAATTGATCCAGCAGGGAGTCAATCGAACCATCGAAGTCCAGTTTCTTCTAAGCTGGACAGGAAGACTTTGCATATCAGTGCCTTATCTCGACTCCGTACAGACATCATTTGTCTATAATGGCTAATATGCGTCAATGGGTCTAATTTCCCATCGTACGACGTGAACTTTGGCGGGGTGAATTTCTTGGGGGGTCTCATGGCCTTAATTTCTGGGGAGAACGGGGAGGAGACAAGCCTATCCAGCGCTCGGTGTTTTCTCTAATGAATGGTACGATCTAAATGATCCCAACGTTGTTCATTCTACTTGTTGCCAATCAGCCAAGTACGAAGGTCTTGAGGAGGGTACTCAATTAGTTGGCTAACCGTCTTCTGCCTCTTAGCCCTTCTCCAGCGTGATCCACGGGTGTGGCTACTCGCCATTTCACTCTGTACCGAGATTGGCTGGCTCTGCTGCCTAGACTCATTTCTGGGGAACTTCTTCATTGGCGGTTCTTTAGATAAGCTCCTCCGTCGTAAGCGAGAGGGCTCTGCTTCAGTCTTCTTTTCTGTTGGATCACCCAGCACCCTTTTAAGTTGCGTTTTCAGCTCCTGTATCTCTATCCCCATGGAGTCTATGATTCGATCTCTGTAATCCTTTTCCAGAAGAAAGTGATGAGAAGAACCTCCAGCGATAGGTAATCGATGCTTGACGGATTCGGGGGTCCGGTGGTTGTTTCCAGTTTGTTCTTCTAGGACTGTTGGGAATGCCAAGCCTCTGTCTTTTGTCTTCTCCGTCTATGGAGTATATGTTAAAGGTGGGATGTCCTCAATCCCTATCGCCGGAACTGAGTGCAGAGCTCAGAGACAAAGTGATCCACGTTCACCGCAACAATTGTGCGTACCAGATTCCGCACTAAATGAAAGTGGATCGAGGCTCCGCACTTGGTTGGACTATCCAAGGATTGAGGTTCCTGCGGCAAGAAGCACCGTAAGAGCTGTCCGGCCGGGGTTGGCCAGAAAATCCCTCCGATGTGGGAATCAGCGATAGGAGAAAAAGTGTATAGAGTTGAGTTTTTTGTAAGTGGAGTTCAGTTTGGATCAGTTATCTTCAATGTGAAGTTTATGTAGTATATATAGAGTTCCTTGCTTGTTTCCCAAGATAGTTTCCTGGAGCTCTGGTGCTGCCAAGCTTCCTTTTAGCATGGCCCCAGGTGGGGGACCATCTGGTAGTTGCCTAGAGGTGCTTATAGTCATGCTGATAACAAACCACATTCCTCTAGTTCAACTGCTTCCGTGATTCTAGGTGTAGGGGACCAGCTGAGGTAGCAACTTGCACATGCATATACTCATAGCTTCCACGTTTCTTTGAGAGTTTCCCTTAGCTCGGCACCGTTGTGCCTCGGCTCGGCCCTTTGCGAGGCTACTGTTGGGATGGGCTGGTCCAGTCGGATATTTGTGTATGGATTCGGCCTACTTTGGTTATGATGATGGGTTCGACCTATCAGTTTGGCCCATAGAATGGGTCCTGCAGTTCGGCCCTAGTCCAGTATCGCAGCTGGACTGGCCTTTCCACTGCGAGTTGGGCCTAAGTGCTTGAGGACTTGGGTGGACCGTTGGTAATGAAGTTGGACTTAGTTGGGTTGCCCACGTACTCATCTGACCCATTTGGATTTGGGCTTAGGGGATTGGATCGGCCCAAGGCTTGGGTCTGACCCATCTCTTATTTAGTCCCTTCGAAACCTAAAAAATTTGTTCTCAAACACTACCATAGAATGATAAATTTCTCACGAAAAATGCTCTCACAGGTAGATCACACATGAGTTAAGACTTATTTTCTGTGGGACATTTATGTTTTTATTTGTTCGATATATATTTTAAAAAATCATATATATATATATATTTTTTTTTTGAACTTTTTTTTTTTTATCTTTAATAGATTTTTTAAATTATGTCAATTTTTTTAAAATATTTTTTAGATTAAACTAAAAGGTAAAAACTAAAAATTAAAAAAAAAAACCAAAAAGCCAATTATTTTTTACTTTTCTTTGTTCTTTTGGATTTGTTATAAAAAAAAAATCAATTTAAAAAAAAAAAAACTTTTCCGGCTCATCTAGGCTCTTTGAATCCAAAAGTGTAGAGTTCTTAAAAAAAAATTTAAAAAAAAAGGAAAAAAGGCTAAGAAAAAAATCACTAAAAAAAGGAAATCGTAAACACTTAGGCTTGTTTGGTTTGTTTTTAGGAGAGTAGTTTTTGAAAATTGTTTCTGGAAGAGAGTTTAGAAAATTTTTTAGTTTGTTTGGTTGTGTATTTTGAAAGTAGTTTTGGAGTTTGGGAGTTTGTAATGATTTGATATTTTGTTATAATTGAGTAGATGTGTGTGAGAGAAAAAGTGATTGAGAAGGAGAGAGGAGAGAGAAAAAGTGATTGATTGATAGGTAAGAGAGAGAAAGTGATTTTAAAAAATTTACAAACCAAACAAATTTTTTAAATTTTTTTTCTCAAAATCACTCTAGAAATTCAAACCAAACATATGTGATTTGTGAATGAATAAAATCTACAAAACTAGACAAATCTACCCAAAAAATTTTGGGTGGACAGTTGTGTGGTGAATATTAAATTTGTTTAACATGATAAATCTGAACCACAAATAATAATTATAGGCAATTTCTAAGTAGTTGTGTTTGTAGTATTACTTCAGTTTGGAAACTAGAATATTTTAGTTGACTTCTTAGTTAGATTTTTAACTATTTAGCTATTTAAAAAAAGTTGTATCTGAGATAATAATTGACTTTTTTTATAATTGATTTAATGGTTGTGAGGGAAAAAAATAAAAAAATATATTATCTTATGAAATATTTTAACCTACTTTATATCTTTATTAGTTATTTTAGTTTAAAAAAAAAATACAAACCCAAGTTCTCAAACAGCACCAAATTGTATGAGAAAAAGTTAGGTGTGCATATTGAATACTGTATTGCTACATCTCAATAATTTTGGACCCCTAAAATCAACCTCTAATGATATGGTTGATACTTAATAGATAAGTTTTATATTTTAGTGAGGTTCTAAGTGATGTGAGTTATGATAGATCACTTATAATTGATTTATGGTTCCAAAATTGATGATTCAAATCATTTTCCTATATTTATATGTGAGCCCGTTTTCTTTTGTCGGGTGATATCCATGATTATATTGATAATAATAGTCAACAATGGCTATGCCTAAAAACTGAAATGGTATTTTAATGTATTAATTTATATTTCTGGTGATTGTCAAATTAATTAGTATTAAAATACATATCGCGTGTGGATAGATATTGTCCACAACTTCTGTTTTTCAAATTCTTTCAAATAATGTGTAAAGTAAAATTTAAAAAATTAATTCACATTTTAATATTCTTTTAAAAATCTCTTTATATACATCTTAGGTTGTCATTCTATTTGAAGGATTGTAAATAAAAGAAATTGTGTAAATACAATAATCTTGTTTGTTTTAATATGTTTAGATTTAGGGTTTGTTTGGGATGTGGGTTGGCTTTTTTAAATTTTTGATTATTTTAACTTGGGGTTAAAAAATCTCGTTTGAGATAGATTTTTTGGTTCTTTTAAATTTTGTGAAAGAAAAAATAAAATGATTAGAAGTTGAATGTGATATTTTGTCTTATCAGATTAAAAAGTCTATTTTATCTTTTTATAATTAAAAATAGTCAAAAAATTAAAAAGTTTGACATACCAAACAAAGGCTTAATTAGGGCATGTTTGGTAACGTTTACGTTTTCTATTTATATTTACAAGAATTTTATAAACTGATTTTTGTTTATTTTTAGAAAAACATAAACTATAAACGCGTTTGGTTTAGACAAAATGTTTAAAAAAAATTTAAAAATATAAAAAAAAGTGAGAAATGGCAAGTGGTGGCGGGTGGTGGGTGGTGACGAGTGGTGGCGGCGGAAGACGGTAGTGGAAAATGGTGGCAGGTGGTGGGTGATGGTGACAGAAGACGGTGGTGGAAAATGGTGGTAAGTGGTGGGTGGGTGGGGGGTGGTGGCAGAAGACGGTGGTGGAAAGTGGTGGCAAGTGGCGGGTGGTGGCGGTGGAAGACGGTGGTGGAAAGTGGTGACGAGTGGGTGGATGGTGGTGGCAAGTGGGTGGTGGATGGCTGGTAGTGGTGGGTGGTGGCTAGTGGTGGCGGTGGGTGATAGTGGCGGGTGGTAGCGAGTGGATGGTGGTGGTGGCGGGTGGGTGGCGGATGACGGGTGGTGGTGGCAGGTGGGTGGTGGTGGTGGGTGGCTGGTGGTAACAGGTGGATGGTAAGTGGTGGTGGCAAGTAGGTGGCGGGTAGCGGCGGCGGATGGTAATGGCGGGTGGTGACCGGTCGATGGTAGGTGGGTAGTGGGTGATGGTGGTGGCGAGGGATGGGTGGTGGTGGCGAGTGGGCGGCAGGTGGGTGGTGGCGAGTGGGTGGCAGGTGGTGGTGGCAGAAGACGGTGGTAGAAAATGGTGGCGGATGGTGACTAGTGTTGAATGGTAAAAAAAAAAACTCAAAACTCAAAATGTAAACTCATTTTTTGAGTTTACATTTTTTGGCTAAATTTATAAACTAAAACTACTGATTTATAAATAAAAAATTTACCAAATAATATTTTATTTAAACTTTTAAAATTTTTATAAATATAAATTAAAAACATAAATGTTACCGGACAGCACCTCACTGTATTGCATTAGTTAGCCACCATTGCGTCCACATTCATTTTTGTTTTGTTCAATCACACTTTACACGTCGAAGTACATATCCATTGTTTAATCTCACCTCCAACCTGTCATATTCGGGATAATATTTGTTATTTTTTAATTCATTACCAAAATTACCCTTCCATTCTCAAACCTGAACAAATCCAATCTCCCACCAACTCACCTTAACCATTTTTGGTAAGATTAATACTTCCTACCCCCACTGCAACCTGTCATATTCGGGATAATATTTGTTATTTTTTAATTCATTACCAAAATTACCCTTCCATTCTCAAACCTGAACAAATCCAATCTCCCACCAACTCACCTTAACCATTTTTGGTAAGATTAATGCTTCCTACTCCCACTGGGGTCGACCCCCAGTGAGGTGTCCGCTCCGAATTGATCCAAAAAATTTTTTTTTTTTTTTTTTTTTAAGTTTTCAGCCAGTGGGGGCGCGCCACATCACTGGGGCACGATCCCACTGGGAGTATGCAGCGCGGTTGTTTTGGTAATTCACGCAAACTCAAATTAGTAACACTAGTGCATCTGCGCAGCCAGGTTGTGCCACACTAATGTATGTATGTATACATGTATTTGAAAAAAATTCATGATTGTATAAGTTTTAATATAAGTTTTAATTCTCTTGACATGTCATTTGAAATAAAATAAAATTTAAAATTCTTAATTTAAATATCATAATTGTACTCAATGTTATAGCATATTATATATTAATTTTTTATTTGTCACAACTCTCTTGTTATGTTATTGTGAATAGATTGTGAGATTTAAATTATAAATTTTTAGCATTTTACATGAAGAATACTTTTAAAGATTAAAAAAAAAATGGAAGTAAATGTACCCTTTACTTAGACAAATTATACTTGTTACTAAATTTAAAATAATTATATTTGAAATTATAATTGTTATTTTGATAAGCTATGTTAGGGTCTTAAGATTTTAATCCCAAAAAATTAATATTTATTTCAAATTAATTTTATATGTGAATCCTATTAAATAAGTGTTAAATTTTAGATTATACGATTAATTTATGTGCCAATATTTGGACAGAAATTCCAGGGCTCTTTATTATGTAGTGTTTTGGAAAGTTGATAAAAAGTTAATTTTTTGACCTTTTTAATTTATTTTTTCTTTTTGTGTGTAAAAATGTGAAAGATAATATGACTCAAAATGAATAAAAAGTTAAAAATTGATTTTTTTTTTTTGGCTTCCCAAAAGATCCTATGTATTTGGATAGTCACATAAAACAATTTTCTAGGAAAAAGAAAATTTGTGGCAGTGTCCACAGGCAGTACAAACAGTGATTTAGACACCCTCAAACTTCAACCCCCACCACCCCACACACACGTGGCGGGTGGTGATTGGAGGAGAAGAAAAAAAAAAGAAAAACAAAAGTAACCAATCAAAAAAGAAAGGGGGTCAAAGGGGTGGGAGAAAATGGGGTCCCAATCTTTATTCTATATAATAACAGAGAATAAGGTCCATTTTGGTAATAATAATAATAATAAAAAAAAAAGATCTATCTTTTTGAATTTTTTTGTTTTTAGTAATTTTTTTTTAATTATGTCAATTTTTTTTACTTTTCTAGTCTATCTTGTCGAAGCGAATTTAAAAAGTATATTTTTTTAAAAAATCATTAAAGACTAAAATAAGCCAAAAAAGATTACTTATTGTGGCTTATTTTTGCCTTTTTTGAATTTTTTTTTAAAAATTATAATTTTTGGATTCGTTTTGTCGAGCTGAATTTAGAAACCTATAATTTTTTGAAAAATTATAAAAAAAAGTTCACTAATATGAAAATAAGCCCCAAAAAAAAAAAATGAAGCCAAAAGTATACTCCCAAAACACCCCTAAATAACAGAATATATACTCCAAAATATTTTAGTCCATCTCAAAATATTATTTATCTAATTTTTTTAATTTATTTTAGTCCATCTTAAAATATTTGTTTATTTTTTTATTAAATTTTGTTAAAATTTTAAAATTGTCCCTTATAAATAATTATAAACATATTTTAAAATTTAAAAAGAATGATAATGATGGAAAAAAAAACATTTTAAAATTCGAATTAAATATAATAATTGTATGTCTCTTTAATAAGTTAGATTTTATATAGCGCACAAATAAAATGTGATGGAGGAAGTACTATATATAAATAACTGTGTGGGATAATTCTGAAAGAAGAAAAAATAAGGAAGTACTATATATAAATAACTGTGTGGGATAATTCTGAAAGAAGAAAAAATAGACAAAGAGAGTCGTAAATAACGATCTCCAGAAAATCAAGCGATCGCCGGAATGAAGTCAGCGACACCGAATGACGGCGGCGGAGCAGTCGTTCCTCTCCTCCCGAAGATGAAGTCACCGCCGCCGGAGAGGCCAGCGTCGGTGGTGGGAGCGGTGTTCAACGTGTCGACGACCATAGTCGGCGCGGGAATCATGTCAATTCCGGCAACGATCAAGGTGTTAGGTGTGATTCCGGCGTTGGTATCGATCGCGATGGTGGCGATCCTGGTGGATGTGTCGGTGGAGTTCATGATGAGGTTCACGAATTTCGGTGAGTCGAGTACGTACGCTGGGTTGATGTATGAGTCGTTTGGACGGTTTGGATCTGTTGCGGTTCAGATTTGTGTCTTGATCACCAACCTTGGTTGCTTGATCATTTATCAGATTATCATCGGTAAGCTTTTATCATGGCTTTTAATTAGTAAAACATTACGGGTATGTTTGGTTTGTGTTTGAGAGATGTGTTTTAGAGATAAAAAGTACGAAAAGTTGTTTGGTTTTGTTTTTTTCAAAAGATGTTTTGAAAAATTATTTTGAGAGAGAGTTTTGGAAAAAGTGATTGATTTGATGTGTGTGTGAGAGAGATTTGTTTGGAAAATTTGTTTGGTTTACAAGTTTTGAGAAATTTTTTTGGAAAAATTTGTTTGGTTTAATTACTTTTAAAAACTTTTTTGTAGAAAAAATTTTTCAAAATTTTTTCAGAAATACAAACCAAACGAACCCAACGAGTTTATGCTAATTCATTAACTTTCAAGTTTGATGAGCAAAAACAAAAAAGAAGAGGTGGCGTGGTTTGATTTGATGAGCTCCAACCAATGGTCTCAAATGTTTCCCTTTTTTAGGTTAAAAAAACTAATTTACAGTTGTTCTGCTCAATGGATGGAAATGAAACAAAAAGGCGAGTAGATTATTAAACCTTTCTTTCTTTCTCTTTCTTTTTTTTTCCCTCTTTTATTATTCAATCTGTAAGAGCATCCACACCAATTTACCTAAATTTTATCTTAAAATATTATTAAAAAATTAATTCCTTATCTTAAAAATCAATTTTTCATTTATTTCCCTCAATAGACTCTCTATTCTTTCTCTATTCTATTAACAAATTCTCTAATTTTTTTTTTACTTTATTAAAATATAATTTTTAATTATAAATTTTAAAAAAATAAAAATCATAAATACGTACCGCAGTCCCTAAACAAAAAGAAAAAAGAAAAAAAAATATAAGGAGCTACAGTGACTCCCTAAAAATAGGGAGTCACTGTAGCAAAAATTAATTTAAGGGATCATTTAGGAGATCTGATGCAAGTTGATAGAAAGCTATTTACCCCTTAAAATAGGTAAAGAGAGAGTTTAGGGGCTTTGGTGGGGATGCTCTAAGAGCGTAATTATAAATTATAAATATAATAAGAATTATATCAACTAACACAGCAGGTAAAGAGAGAATTAAATCAATTATAAATAGTTTTAATTTTATTTTTTTTTTAAGGAGAAGCTTCTCTTCGGTTTAAATCAAATTGAATAGAACTGTTGGGCCTTCCTAGGCCCACCACAGAGTACATATCAATGATCTAGACTGTTAATATATAGAGTTTGTCGAGTATTTCATTCTTGTAAAAAATCACATTGATCGAATATCAATAGATACTTGATCAGATTACATTTTTGTGAGCAGTAAATATAATTTTAAAAATAAATTATTGATACAAATGTGATCTGATCAAGTAACTATCTATATCCAATCAATTAATTTTTCACATAAATAAAGTACTCAACGAATTCTATATATTAATTTGTTTAAATTATCGATGTGACCTTCGTGATGGTCCCATGGGAATCCAATAGCACCCCTACCTGGAGAGACCTCAAGTCCTTTTTGTGATGAACTTGTTAAAAGTAAAAATGATATACTTATAGTAAGGGAAAGATTATACGGTGAGTACTATACAGCCACCGTTTGGGAAACAAGTTGGTTTTTAATTTTTTAATTTTTTTAATTATTTTAATTTAGGTTAAAAAAATTGATTTGGGTTGATTTGAGTTTTTTAGATTAAGTTTTTTAAAAATTGGGTTTTTTTATTTTTATATATATTTTTTTTAATGAATATTTTTAAAATTTTGAACATTTTTTTAAAATTTTTTTAGATGCACCTTACTTAGATGTATCGAAAAAATAAAAAAATTGTGAAAAAATATTTTAAAAAATTAATAAACACATAAAAATATAAAAAAATGTACTGAATTCTCGTAATTTTTTTAAATAATATTTTTGGTATTTAGTGAATTTTTAAAAGATTTTTTTCACAATTTTTTTACTTTTTAGGTATATTTATATTAGGTATGTCTAAAAAGTAAAAAAATTGCTTAAAATATTAAAAAAATTTAGTAAAAGCAAAAAAAATAAAAATACAAAAAATAAAAAAATAGAATTTTCTAAAAAGTATTTTTGGAAAACTCTAACCAAGCAAAAACATATATGAACTTTATAATTATAGAAGAAAATAACATAATTTCATATTTTCTAAATCATAACTAAAAAAAAAGTCATAATCAAATATTTCAAAATAATGTCATAACTAAAGATGAAAATTGATCATAACTAAAGAAAAAAATAGTATAACTAAGAATGCATATAGTATAGGGTGTGTATAATGAAATTCTCCTTATAATAATTATATTCACACTTTAATTTTTAGCTTTTTACAGTTACTTGTACATGGCTTCAAAAAGAAAGAAAAAAAAGAAAAACTTGCTAGATTGAAGGTGGAGTATCAATATTATTGCTCAAAATTTTAAATGAAAAAGAGTGGTACACAAATTGCAAAAAAGGCAAAAAAATTAAATTCAACCCCTTGACGCAGTTGAATTTTTATGCAGTAAGATACGTATGGGTCTGGATGATTTTACCTAATATTTGTATCTTGAATTTACTGAGAAAATTTTTACAGTTACTTGTACATGGCTTCAAAAAGAAAGAAAAAAAAGAAAAACTTGCTAGATTGAAGGTGGAGTATCAATATTATTGCTCAAAATTTTAAATGAAAAAGAGTGGTACACAAATTGCAAAAAAGGCAAAAAAATTAAATTCAACCCCTTGAGGCAGTTGAATTTTTGGGTTGTTTTGGGAAGATGGTAAAAAGTGACTTTTTGGTTTTTAACCAAGTTTTTGACTTTTTTAGACAAATGATTTGGGAAGTTGGTAAAAAGTGACTTTTGACTTTTTTGATTAATATTTGTTTATGATGTCAAATCATAATAAAATGACCAAACTATCCCCATTTATTTAAAATATTTACAACTTCACCTGTGTAACACATTTTGACCTATGAGGGGTAAAATTGTAATTTCACCGTTGGTTAAAAACCGACTTTCCAAATGAAAAAAAAAAGCCAAAAAAGTCAACTTTTAACTTTTACTACTAACCAAAAAAAGTGACTAAAAACTATGTTGCCAAGATACGTATGGGTCTGGATGATTTTACCTAATATTTGTATCTTGAATTTACTAAGAAAAAAATAAAAATAATCATTTTTGTTTATTTATTTTTAGTGGCAAACCAATTTTTTATTTTTATTTTTTAACAAATAGCTACCGGTTTAGAAACGACAGTAGATTGTCCGAGTCGAATTTAGAAAATTAACAAATGCATTTAAGTTTAATTTATTTATAAAGCAAATCGATCTCAAACTATTTTTTAACTTGTCAAACATAAATCGAACTCCAATTATTTATATTATTCTCATATTTTTTCTAATCCAACGATACAAATGTTCCTTAATTTTCTTTTCTTTTCTCTTTTTAGCCTCATACTTTGTTCTGTTTTTCTCAGGGGATGTCCTGTCTGGAACCCATCTTCAAGGACCAGTGCACTTGGGCATTTTACAAGAATGGTTCGGCATTCAATGGTGGAACACTCGTGCTTTCGCACTCTTCTGCATGTTGATCTTCGTTATGCTTCCTCTGGTGTTGATTCGTCGTCTAGGTTTGTTGTCGACTATCCCAAATGCACATATTTGCAGAATTGAAAAACCTCTATTTTGTTTTCCATTTGTGTGCTGATTGTTTGCTGTTTTGGCTTGTAATTTCCAGAATCGCTGAGGTTCAGTTCAGCGGTGTCGGTTCTACTGGCTGTGGTTTTTGTTGGCATATGTTCTGTTATGGCAATCTCTGCATTGTTAGAAGGGAAAGCAAAAAGTCCTAGACTGATGCCTCAATTGGATGACCAAGCTTCCTTCTTCAACCTCTTCACTGCTGTCCCGGTTATCGTCACCGCTTTCACATTTCATTTTAATGGTAAGTAAGAGAAATTTTCAATTTTGATGTTTGTTGAGGTTAATGGTGTTTGTTTTGTTTCATGCTCTATATTTTTTCATGATTGAAAGAAAATTCCTTGCATTTTCCTTGGAAGTTTAATCTTTAAAAAACTGGAATTGATGATGCAATTTAGGCATCATTTGGATTGGAATGTTTTTAGTGATTTTTTAATTTTTTTATGAGTAGAAAAAAATTAATATATTTCAGAATGACTTTTTAAATTATATATATAAAAAAAAGGGTGAATAATTAGTGTGTATATAATATGAGAGAAATACTATAGTACACCCCCGCAAAGGGTGTGCACCATATATATTTTATAATTAAAGAAAAAAATGATATAACTTTATATTTTCTGAGTCAACTAAAAAAATAGAAATTTACAAACATGAAGTATAATTAAAGATCTCATGAATTATAATTAAAATAAAGTCATAATTAAATAAAAAAATTAGTTATAACTAAAAAAATAACATAATTAAGGGTGATATATCTTATTTTAAGGTGTGTACATTAGAATTTTCCATATAATTTATTTTTTTGGTTGCTTTTTATAAAAACAAGACCTTGGGGAGAACAATCATAGTGACCATTGGGCTATGACCATGCTGATGTCACTCTAAGATCAAATACCTTGTTTGGTTGGGCAACTTTAATTTCTCTCTTTTTTTTTTTTTTTTTTTTTTTTTCCGGTCTTACTATATATATTTGTTCAATTAAAATTTATTTTTTTGAATAAATTGCATTTGTAATCCGTGTTGTTTGGTATTCAATTTGATTTTTATCTAACTTTTTAATAGATATTATGAATTAGATTAAATTAACATAATTGAAAAATTAAAAAAGAAAATGATAAAAATAAAACTACATCCATTAAATTGACACAAGAGGTAAGATACTAGTACAAATTAATAACTTTTTAATGGACTTTTAGACGCTTTTAAAAATAAAATATCCAATTTCCAAATGAATATCTTCCATTTGCTAAACATTAATGATTATGTTATTTCCATGGCATCATTAGCATTGAATGGCATCTGTATTTTTCATGATAAGTTGAAAAGTAAAAATTCATGTGATTGAAAATGAAACTTCTCTGAAATTGGATAAGAATTTTTTCATCATCTTAGCTATGTTCAAATTAAGAGGCATAATTGAATAGAACACCAATATAGTAAGCTATATCATCCAAAAATGTCTTGAAATTTGCCATTGATTGAATGTGTGCAGTTCATCCGATTGGAACCGAGCTCGAAAAGCCTTCTGACATGGCCACAGCAGTCAGAATCTCCCTCCTAGTTTGCGCCGTCATCTACTCTTCTATCGGTATCTTTGGATATCTTCTATTTGGAGACTCAGTCATGTCCGACATACTTGTAAATTTTGATCAAAATTCTGATTCATCAGTCGGTTCATTGCTCAATGACATGGTTCGATTAAGCTATGCCCTCCACCTTATGCTGGTTTTTCCTCTATTGAACTTCTCTTTGAGGGCCAACCTTGACGAATTAATCTTCCCTAAGAAGCCTCCTTTGGCGGCCGACACAAAAAGATTTCTTTGCATCACTTTCACTATCCTAATCTTCTCTTATCTTGCGGCGATTGCCATCCCCAACATCTGGTATTTTTTTCAGTTCATGGGATCGACTTCTGCAGTGTGCCTTGCCTTCATCTTCCCCGGTGCAATCGCTCTGAGGTATTCTCTTTCTCTCAACATGCACAAATGCACGTGCTCGGGTTAAGAAGTACGACACATGACATAATATGCACATATAAATTTTTAAAAAAATACTTATTCTATATCAAATATTTATTCTCATTAAATACATTGATATAAGTATGCTACTTCCGTTTTTTTTTTTTTAAAAAAAAAGAAGAAATTCAATGGGACACAGTCACACACGTGTCGAGAGCTTGTCTGGGAATGTGTTCTAACAAGTGATCTCCAGCGAGGTATCTCTGATTCATGCATAGGGTGTCTTTTGAAGAATTTTTTTTATTTATTTCCTAACTTTATTTAAAATTTTCTTTCTTAATTTTATTACATGCCTTCTAACCAGTTTTTTTTTTTTTAATTTTTATTTATTTTTGGCAGAGATGTTCATGGTATATCGGGAACAAAGGACAAGATCGTGGCAGCGATAATGCTAGTCCTGGCTATCATAACAAGTGCAATTGCAATTTCTATCAATATATGTAATTTTGTCGGAAACAAGTCATAGTTCTTCCCCCCCATCCCCCCCCCCCCCCAATTTTTTATTTTATTTTATTTTATTTTTTTAAAATTTTTTGGTCTTGATTGTTTTTGTAATTGCATATATGCTTGTAAAACACCCTTGGTCTGTATTCTTGTAATCCTCATGGCTTGTTGTTTGTATCTTTGAGAGATTACATTGCCTTGATTAAGAATTTTCCCCCAGTGTAATGTCAAATTAAAATAGCAACTATCTTCAAAACTTTCTATGACAATCCTAATCAGTAATTAGTCCATAATCCATGAATAAGAATGCTAATTAAGTTTTAAGAATGAGATTATTTGTTAATTATACAATTTATATGTTATTTGTGTTTATATCTATTTATAGTAGGAATGTTTGTCTATAATTCTGTTTCGATATGGGATTTGAGGGCCTTAAAACATGAACTTGACTAGGTCAACATGTAATTTAGGATTTTTGAAATATTATGATAAGTTTAATTTGAATTCGATTCGGAATCAAATAACTAGAATAAATTGATTAAAAATAAGTAAGATTAATTAGTTTTAATCATTCTTAATTAGTGAGTGCTAAGTAAGCCCATATAAGGCGAATCTGAGTTGTTCCCTTGTTGCTAAGCAAACCTATATAAGTCCGCACAGTTTTATGGACCTTGTATTTTGATATTTGCTTCCGTTAGTCTCTTATTTTACTAATCTGTTTCAGAGACTTTCGGTAATCTTAAGATTACTGCCCAGTTATGATGCTAAACATATGGGACGAGTTTGAGTCGTGATACTTTTTCAGCCATTTCTCTTTAAATTGTGTATGGATTTAATATCTAAAAAGAGATTTGTAAAAGAAAAGAAAAGAAAAATTGGCAACAAAAAAAAAAAAAATTAACTTCACTCTTCTTTTTTCTCCTTTTCCTTAACAAATCACGTCTCAAATCTGTATTTAAATACAACATTAATGATATGGGCAAATTGATAGTCAGAATACCAATATAGCAGGAGCATATGCAAAATTAAAAAATGTTATTTTTAATTAACATATCAACAAATTATGATACCCCATTTTTTTAATTGCCTACTGTACGGGGAGCAAATATTCCGGCAAGTCCGTACTCCTTTCTTCCGAGCTCCGTTTCTGTCCGATCACCTGCGAGCAAATAACGGTGAGCTACCCGGCGGTGTGTGGCCGGAAAAACCCTCCAACGATCAAGTTAGCACACACCTTAGGATAGAGAGAGAGAGAGGGGGGGTGTTTTAGTGTAAGAAAATCCTTACAAAGTGTGTATCTCTCGCGTATGGGGGGCGTAGACATGCTTATATACCCTCTGTGCCCCAAATCTACTCCCAGTCATCTCCTGACACGTGGCTCCGCTATCCCATCTGTCAGCATAAACCTTGCTGAACATCACCTAATCTCAACTGCCTGCCTTCACAGCTGGAGCTCGGCAGCCGAGCTGCTCTATCCGTTGCCGTGCCGTGCCGTGCTTCATACCCAAGCACTTCACTGGCTAAGTCCAAGAAGGACCGGGCTAGGCGACATCTCGGCAAAGCCTAGCCCGAGGCACCTCCTGTGGTCGGCCTTTCTGCCAGACAAGCAGTTACCTCGGCTGACCACGCCTTTCCGGGCGCCGGTCACTCCGCTTGTCTTGCTTCGGCCATCGCCTGGTTGAGCAGCTCGGTCCAACCGAGCAGCTTCTTTACGGTCTGGGGCGACACACACTCGGCCCAAGTTCTGCCCGGCCCAAGTTCTGGCAGCCCATCTCTTGGCGGATAGTCAATCATCTCGGCCCCATGCATCGTTTGGGCTCTCAACCTGCTCGGCCATTACCACGGCCTAACTCCAGATCATAAATCACCCTCTCAATTGCCCCTTAATTCCGTCCGCGAAAGCGTGACTGGGATTACTTACTTCGAACGAGATAACATTCCTCTGGTCTCCAAGGCGAGAAGGGCGACCGGGCTAGTTAACATAACTGTCTACAAACTTGACCGGTTGTACACCACGGCTGACGTCCTCTTCTTCAGAAGTAGCTCGGTTGGCTCTTCGACTCTTCAACCCGTCGCTTCAGTCCTGACGTTCCATAAATGGGGACACGTGGTGGGCTGTCATTGGTCATCGAGCAGCCAACCTGCCGTTTTTGCCAGAATTTGAATTTGGGCGGCCTCTCGTGCTTACATATACAAGACCCCCCTTATGCCATTTCTTCCTACTGCTTCTTCTCTACCTGATGATTCAGAGCTCAAGCCATTTCCTCTCATACTCGACTGCCATTCTTCGTGCTTGGGAGAACAGCTCCAGCCCTTCACAGGTAAGATCTTCAATCCCTCTTGAGTTGCTATTTTCTTTCATATTACACACATTAGGGCACAAAAACGTAGTTCTTAGGGCATAGGCCATAGAATCCGTTCCAAACCTCCCACTGTTCTTGGTGTTCTTCATCTCCATGAAGAACACTGAAGAACTGGGGCGAACCGGGCTCCTGGTCTTCTTTTGATCCAAAAAACCATTCTGACCGAGCAAATAACGTGTTTGTCTCAACCCCGGCAAAAACCGAGATAACAAAAGGAAATGGTCGCTCAACCGGGCTAATATCTGGCCTGCCTGGGCGACCGAACTCTTTAGTTAGCTTAGGAGACCGAGGTGGTTTGGAATCCTTAACGACCGAGCTACAGACTAGCTCCTTCCGCGCGACCGCGCTCACACTTACACTTACCCTCCTTTTCCTGCAGAGTCCAAGGGGACCACTGTCTATTCCTCAGGTTCTCAAGACCGAGCGATTAACAATTGCCATTGTGCCAAGCACCTCAGCCGAGCTACCACAGTCCGGCCACAAATGGGGAAATTTCGCTTCCTAGTGGATACTCCGGCCGCGCTAGCTGCTTTCAGAGAGGAGTACGGCATCCCGGCCGACGTCCATCTCGAACTGGCTGAAGAGGAGACAACACCCTGGGGCAGACTAGACCAATGCCCCTTCACCGTGCTCTCAATTGTCGAAGGGGGCCTCCGTTTCCCGCTCAACCCACTTATAACCGAGTTCCTCCGCCGTATCGGGCTGGCACCCACACAAGTGTCCACCAATACCTATAGAATAATCAACGGCGTTCACGAATTGAACAATCGGCTAGGCACCAACTTGGGTCTAGCCGAGATATTGAGGCAATACACAATGGGCCACACCGGGGATGGTTTAGCTTATTACTTGAAGATAAGACCGGGCAAGGAAAAAATTGTAACCGGCACCCCGGATAAAGATCTTCACGACGACGATTTTTTCTGGGTGTTGAGCAATTACGAAACAGCCGAGGTGCCGGGCTGGTTTATAAACAAGGACTTCGGTTCTTCATGTAAGCCACTCAAACTTGCTCGGTCATCCTAACTCTTTACACTGTAACTAACCAGTTTTCCTGTTTCTTTTGCAGCAATCCAAGCCTTACAAGCCAACTATCAATTTCCCAACGTTGAGGCTATTCGGACCGTGCTTCGGTATTTCCACCGAGATTGCAACGATTTACTCGGCTACACCCCGACCTACAGGTATTCTGCTCCGCGCCGGAGTAGAGTAACTGACTTCCTCCGAGCTCCTTCGCCACCTCTAGATCCTACTCTTCCAGACGTCCCCTTGATCCGTTTGACAGAAGAACAGGAAATGGCTAAAAGAAGCCGCATCAAAAACCTTCTAACTGCAACCTCGGCTGAGATACCGAGCGTTGTCACCCGCTCCCCGGCTGGTGGTCAATCAAGTGCCGCCGTGGTAGCCCTAGCTTCTCCAACCGCTAGACAGTCTGCAAGAGAAACACGCCGAGCTGGAAAAAGACCGTGGGCAGATCCCTCTGCCGAGCTCGTCGCCGAGCTGACAACCGAACACCCATCTGAAACTCCTGTCCCCGTGCCAGCCTGGCGTCCACAGCTGAAGCACCGGGGACAAGATATCCCGGCGACGGCTTCGATCAAGGCCGACAAAGAACATTTGTTCGCCTTCGATCTCTCCAAAGCTTTTCTTCTACCGAGCGACGTGGTCGGCAGCGATCACGTCCCTGACACCCGGCTGGTAAAATCCTCAGTGAAGTCCATGGCCAGGGTAAGTCGATGTTCCTCTGAAAATTTCACAAGTGTTTGCCCGGTTCCTCTTCTAATCAACTTTGCTTTTTGCAGGCCATTCAAAAACAACACCTGGTTTTGGAGCGCATCCATAGACTTCGGCAAAAGGCCAACGACACAGCCAGCCAGGTCGAGAGCCTTCAAGCCGAGCTCGACCGGGCTAAGTCTTCCCTTGAAATGGCCAACGCCGACAATAACAGACTGCTCGGTCGGCTGGATGTGGCCGAGAAAAAACGGGATGAGCTCCAGACCGAGGTGGACACCCTGAAAAAGTCGAAGAAGAAAGCTTCCCAGGCTGCCAACAACGCCGATTTTAACGAGGCCGAGCAGAGCTACAAGAAGCAAGTCTTTGCAACACAAGACATCTACTTCAAGGCCGGCTGGAAGTCCGCCTGCGAACACCTCGGCCAGGGCTCTGACACCGACGTATTTGCCAACCCTCCTCCAGCTTCACTACCGGTCTACCTCGTGGCTTATGCAAACGACGTCTTCAGCGCTTTGCAAGCTGAGGCCGAGGAAGGACTTGAAGAGGGAGACGGTGAGACAGATTCTGAGGCAGAGGAGGCCGAGGTGCAAGAGCCGCCCGGCAATGATGAGCCCGGTGCCCAAGATGTAAGTCCAACCATCAACCTTGATGCTGGCGAGGACGAGTTCACCAATCTCTCCCCCTTAGTTTAGTTTTTTTTTCCTTTTTGTATTTTTGCTTTCAACGCTTTTGATGTAACCGGGCTATGTCACCACCTTTTGTATTGATTTTCTTATCAATGAAAAAGCCAAACTTTGCCAAGTGTTTGCGCGGTTGCCATCAATGCCATTTTCAGCAAAGCATCTCGGTATAAGTCATTGTTTGAACAAAACACCTCGTCGACCGGAATTCATAACTCGGTTGAAGTACTTAAGCAGAACAAAATAAATCCATAAACCGAAATGACCATCCCGGTTAGTAATAACAAAGTTGGACAAAACACCAACTCTTCCAACCGGAGTACGTTATCTCGGTTGGGAATCCGAAGTTGGACAAAACACCAACTCTTCCAACCGGAGCACGTCATCTCGGTTGGGAATCCGAAGTTGGACAAAACTTCCAACCGGAGTACACCATCTCGGTTGGGAATTCTAAGTTGGACAAAACACCAACTCTTCCAACCGGAGTACATC